AAAACTTAAAAGCAGAGACCAACTTTTCCCTTTCTTCATTCAAACACATCTCTGAAAGCAAGTAAGCTATGCAGTGCTGAATTTGGAAAGCTGTAGTTCTTTGTGCTGAAGCAGGTGTCTCTAGACTAAGCTATCTGATACTGTTTCCAAGTGGTACATGGTGGCTGTGGTTTTTTAAAAAGCTTGCCATGCCACATGCATCTTTTAAAATATTTTGTGTATTTGAAAATTTCATACATGCATACAATATATTTTGATTATATTTGACCCCAACTTCTGTGTCCAACTCTTGTCAGATTTTCCCCTTCACCAGTCTTTCAAAATTGTGTTTTTGGGTGTTTTGCTTTTGAGATAGCATGTGTGTGTGTACGTGTGTGTACACAGCCTAGCTGGCCTGCGCTACATTAACTAGACCAGGCTAGCCTTTGAACTTACAGAGATCCACCTGCCTCTGCTACTAGAGTGCTAAGATTAAACGCATGCACTATGCCTGACCTTTTTTTTTTTTTTTTTTTTTTTTGTTTTCCTTAAATAACTCAGAGTCCAATTCGTTGCCCATATATGTCTGGTTGTAGGGCCATCCAGTGGAGCATGGCCAACCTACCAGGGCTCACACCTTAAAGAAACTGACTGCCTCCGTCCGCTAGCCACCATTAATTGTCAATAGCTCCTCAGCTAGGGATGGGCAGATCACAAGTTTCAGAGCTCTCAAGTTGAACATATGCATCTGTGGTTAGGCAAGATGGGGAATAACTTTATATTGCTGTTTTTGTGTGAGGACTCCAGAAAGACCCCCAAGCACAGCGTGTGTGACCCTCTGGAAACCCTTGGGGTTTCCCTGGGCCTGACGCTTACCTAGTTTGGAGTGAAGCACTAGAACTGACCACCATTTTCAACTGTGCGACCTAGGGGAAAGCTTGAACCTCATTTCACGAGTGAAAGAGGCTGATGATATCATCTGCCTGGGAGGGTTACACATAGGCCATCCTTGACCATATGAAGTGTTAACCGTGGGTGATAGTAATGTCACAGCCCACTGTAATTGAATTATTGCTGCTTTCTAAAATGACCTTAGTCTCAGCAGTCCATATTACCAGTCTTCAGAAAACATTTTAAACTAAATTATGTAAAAACTAGCGTTTTGAAAATTCTAAGCTATGATTGGATTTTTTTCTAAAAAGGAGTTTAAATGATTTTGGAGACAGAATCTCTGTCATCCAGGTTGGCTTCAGAAATCTTCCTGCTTCAGCCTCCCATGTGCTGGGCTTATAGCCAGGCCTCTTTGCCCACATAGCTTTTATGTGGGACTCCTTTTTGATCTAGTGTGGCAAGTTCTTTATCCACTGAACGTTTTCCAGCTCCCCCTTACTAGAGGTTTCAAACCAGCTGGGTGTGATGTTGCGTTTGAGTAGAAACTAACTAGCCCTTGACCAGCCATTGGTCATCCCTCCACAGGGCACAGAGTTCATCACTGTGCCCCTCTGTTGTTTTGTTTGTTTGGACAAGGTCTCTCTATGCAGCCCTGTCTGTCCTTGCTCTCTTAGAGATCCACTTGCCTCTGCCTCCCTAGTGCTGAGATTAAAGGCATATACTATCAGGCCCAACAATCCCTCTATTCTTTGTGCTCCTTTTCTTCATCTCATACTCTCCAGTCTTTTCTCTATTCATCTACCACTTGAGTATCAAAAGTTAAATGTGTAAGTTACAGAAGCTTGGTGAACATGAAAGAAAGATTTATTCACTTACTATTGAAGGAGCCCTGGAGGTAAAGGTGCTACAAGAGTATTTGAAGGAATTAGAGACATTAAAAAAAAAAAAAAGTTAGCATTTAAACAGTGCTAACTTGTTAGACACAAAACTGGTTAATTTCCTACAAGGCAGCAAATGCCTAACCTTTGGGATTATTTGTTCAGGTAGACAGGAATACCCAAGTTAACATATAACTTCACAGTGTCTGGTGTTATTAAATGGTAAACAGCAAAACCAGCATGGGTTTGTTTTGTTTTCCAGAGACGTGATCTTTTGGGAGGCCTATTTAAGGATGTCCCATGGTAGAGATCTCAGTACAGAGCATTTGTCCAGTGTACACTAGAGTCTAGGTTGAGTCCCCAGCATGAGAGGGGAGAAAATGGCAGCAGAAGAGCAAAGATAGGTTGTACCTTTTGGTATCTGTCACTTCTAAAATTACCTTCTGTAGGTGACTCTACACATAGTTACCAATTAAATAGCCCTTTCATTTCAGAAACATTCCCTGAGAGACATTCATTTCTAAGTTAACAGAAGCTTTTGAAAACTCTTACTCTGGGACTCCAGAATGACAGGTAGCAGGCTTCCCTGCCTTGGGGTAGAGCTGTCTGAGGTCTCCTAAATTTCCTTTTGTCTACCTCAGTGAAGCAGTGGAATGGAGTGTCACCTGCCCACTCTTCTCGGCAGCCATGTTTTCTTCTATTCCTGCAGTCACCAGTGTCTCAGCCCCTTGAAGATCTTCTGTCCACCCCCACTGAAGTCTAGCAGAGCCACAGGCAGGAGGAGGTTAAGTTCTCTGTCCTTATGGATCGAATTTAGTTAATATTTAACAAGCAATTTATTAATGCAAAGTACTTCAGTTAGATTCTGTGGGGCATGGAGAAAAGGATAACACTTCCTCCAGATCCCATAATTCAGTGGGGAAGACAGAAACATGGAAAGCCAGCTGAAGTTGTGTTTCTTAATCATGGCTGAACATTAGGGTCACCTGAGGAACTCAGAAACATCCTGCTGCCTTGTATTTTCCAGACTCATTAAATTAGAATCCCAGGGTTGGGGGGTGGGACCCAGGCATCAGTATGTTTTAGGAGTCTCTGGGAAATTCTAGTGTATTGCTAAGCTAGAGCAAAACCAACCTGGAAAACTTAGTGAAAGATTAAGTATTGAATCAACAGGGCACCACAGCCATTCTGGATACTCTGATCCACTATCTGGTCACATTTCAGTCCACGAATGCAGAAAATATAACCTCTCATTGTAAATATGGGGAAGTCTTAGGTAAGCGTGATTGCAAAGCACATAGAAAACATATGCTTTGTTTTGGGAGATGACTCAGTCAGTACGATACTTGCCATGCAAGCGTGAGAACCTAACTTGATCTTCTAGAACCCATTTAAAAAGCTGGACACTGCTGAATGGTCCTTTATCTCTGTGGTACAGAGCCGAGACAAGAGGAGCCTTAGGTGGTGCTAGCTAGCGAGCCTGAGACCCTGTGTCAGAAATACAGTGGAGGGGCTAAAGAGGTGGCTTGGTGGTTAGGAGCACTCGTTGCTCATGCAGAGGTCCCCGCTTTGGTTTCCAGCACCCACACTGTGGCTTATCACTGCCTGTAACTCCAGTGCTGGGGACCTGATGCCCTCTTCTGATTGCTGAGGACATCTCCAGTGCTGGGGACCTGACGCC